ATTGCTTTTATTATAAATTTAGTATAGATGTAGTCTTATAAGTAATATATAGCAATTTATAAAATTTAAATACTGTACTATCTTAAATTTAATTCCAAGTGTAAGACTAATAACTAGAGCTCCAGCCCACAAAACGTCGCCGTTTTTCTAGTAATAAGGATAATAATTATCTGGAGCGTAGCGATAGATGATCATCAATTTATCAACTATATCAACCAATACATTTACTTTTATTTTTAACTATGTTCCGGATATCTAACAGTATCTGTTTTCCTAGTAATACATTATAAGAAAGGATATCTATACTAATAAGAAAATAATATATATAAGGAAATAGTAACAAATGATTAAAAGTAAATATTTGGGCGCAGAGTGTTACAGCGGTAACACCGGTAAATATCACGTAAATGAAATAGAATTATATGTATAGATTAGTACACACGAAAGTACATCGACTTATCTATAGTATTACTTTAGTATCGAAGCTAACAAATTTTTATATATAAATCGTTGATGGGAAAAATGCGCATTTTTTCAGATTCATGCGCATGGATGCGCATGCATGAATGCGCATCGGCTGATCTCTAGATTTGAGAGCTGCACAGGAAAAACCTGTAAGTAAAATTTTATTCGTTAAAAAATATTGTACAATTTTGACCAATCAAATTTCAAGATCAGCCTGATCTTGAAATTTGTTTGGTCAAAATTGTACAATAATAAAATTTTACTTACAGGTTTTCCCTGTGCAGCTCTCATTTAATATTTCCAAAAATATAAATTTGGAAAGGATCGCAAATAAAGTAACAAACAATTTCTTATCGTTATAAACAAACAATTTTTATATGCGTCAAAAAAATATAAAATGGCTGTTGTCGCCTCAAAAAACCCATAATAAAAAAATAATCAATATTTTAACATAATGTTGAAAAGCTTATCAAGTAATACTTCTTGTAAAAAAACACTTGACTGTTTTTTAGTTGCTGATGCAATTAAAAACTCAGCTATAAAAGCAATGAAAATCTTAAATACTCAACCCAAAGTTACCATTATCTTACCAACAAATACTGCCGGGAAAGCGAGAATAGATAGTGCTAATTATGTGGCCAAAAAGCGTAAAATGTTTGAACAACTTGGTATTCCTATGCAATTAATAAAAATTTCACCTCAATATAATGAAACTTATATTAGAACACTTATTAAAGATTTAAGTAATGATCCTAGTAATACTGGTATCATTGTACAATTACCATTTCCATCCAATTTCTCAGTTAATAAAAATAATATTTTAAATGCAATTCCTATTCATAAAGATATTGATGGATTATCTTTGGGTTCTATTGGTAATTTATTTGATTTAAGTAAAGGCATAAAACCCGCTACTCCACTTGGTATTTGTAGTATTTTCGATTATTATAATATCCCAACGGAGGGTAAACATATTGTAATTATGGGCAAAGGTCAACTCGTAGGACAACCACTTTCTTGTATGCTAATGGGTCCTCCATACAATGCCACTGTAACAACTTGTGATATACATACGGAAAATATAGACAAAATTACTCAAAGTGCTGATATTTTAATCGTTGCCATTGGTAAAGCACTTCATGTTAATGAAGATTTGGTTAAACCTGGTGCTATAGTAATTGATGCTGGTATTAATAAGATACCATCAAATTTTACTAATGGGGATGCAAAGATTGTAGGTGATGTGAATCATTCAGTATATAAAAAATGCAAATACTATACCCCTGTACCAGGAGGTGTCGGTTTGCTTACTGTTAGTTCATTGGCTTTTAATGCTGTCAACGCAAGCATTTTGCAACAAGGATTATCACCTTTAAATCTATCTCAACTAATAAGAGAAAAATATTCGTCGGAAACGGTTAGAAAACTCAGTACAATTAGTTATCACAGACCTTCTTTTAAAGCAAGTGAAAGAAAAAAGTTAAATCTTTTATTATTCTCTTCCGGTTATAATGGTATGACACAGAGAATAAAGAATGAATTACTTCGTCTTGGACACTCAGTAACATTTCAAGTAGCCAACTCAGATGACGCTATGCGTTCTGCCTTTTGGCAATATAAACCTGACTTGATTATCTGTCCGACACTTATGACGCCCATACCTGAAGATATCTATACTAAAGTAAAGTGTCTTATTGTTCATCCTGGAATTAAGGGTGACAGAGGTCCTTCTTCGTTAGATTGGGCTATTATTGATAAAAAAGATGAATGGGGTGTTACTATCCTTGAGGCTGATAAAGAAATGGACGCAGGTGCCATTTGGGCAAGCAAAAACTTTTTATCTCCAAAAATTGTTACTAAAACTCATTTGTATAATTCCTATATTACCGATACTGCTTCCAAATTGGTACTTGAGTGTGTTGAAAAGTTTCAATTAGATGATTTTAAACCTGAACTATTAAATTATGATGATACTTCTGTGAAAGGTCGACTTCATGAAACTATTAAGCAAACACATTATAATCGACAAATAAACTGGGAAAAGGATACTACAGAAATAATATTAAGAAAAATACGTGCAGCTGATAGTCAACCAGGAGTCAAAGCTGAGATCGACTTTAATGGTCAAAAAATCACGAGATTCTTATATAATGCCTATAATGAAAAAATGATCAATAAAGATTTGACAGCATATCCTGGAAGGATTCTTGCAAAACGGGATGAAGCCATTTGTATTGCTACAAAAGATGGAGCATTTTGGGTTTCTCAATTACGTTCACCAAAAACAAAAATAAAACCTTATCCATTTAAGTTACCAGCAACTATACAGTTAGGTAAACTATCTGAAAATATTCCTACGATCGATCTTAAACATAGTCTTATGAAACCAACTATTGACACTTTTCAAGAGATAAGTTTTGAGTTATTTGATTCCTATGGTGTCTTATATTTTAATTTTTATAATGGGGCTATGAGCACTTCACAATGTGAAAGGCTTCTAAAAGCCATTAAACAATGTCAAAAGATGCCTATTAAAGGATTAATCCTTGCCGGTAATGCGAGTAATTGGTCGAATGGTATTAATCTAAATGTTATTCAATACACTACTAATCCGAGTACAGAGGCATGGAAAAATATTAAGGCGATAAATAATGTAGTTAAGGAAATCATTAAACTTACAAACATAATAACAGTAGCAGCAGTACAAGCTAATGCTGGTGCAGGTGGTGTTTATTTGGCCCTCGCGACTGACTTTTCTTTTGTTAAACCAGGAGTTGTTTTAAATCCTCATTACAAGAATATGGGTTTATATGGCTCAGAGTTACATACTTATACAGCATCTAAACGTATAGATATGTCTATACTAAAACAACTTAAAGAAAATGCAAATCCAATACTTGCCATAGAAGCAATTGAAATTGGTCTATTTGATAATTTGATGCAGACGAACCCTGAACAAAATTTTTTGGATAATGTTAAGAGATTCATGGATACTATTATTGTTGACACTTCAAAGTTTACAAACTTTATTAAAAATAAACAAATTATTCGTATGCAAGATGAATTAGCAAAGCCATTAAAAGAATATGAGAAAAATGAATTAGAAGAAATGCATAAGGACATGTTTGAAAATCGTAACAACTTTCATGAAAGAAGATTCGCATTTGTCACAAAATCCCTTCTTAAATAGATAACTCATGGATGCATGTTAAAAAACTTTTGTATTATAGAATAATAAAAATGTGATTTAACGGCTTTACATTTCAGCGGGTTTATGGAATTACTCTAAAATTATTTGTTTACCAAATAGGAATCTACAGAAAATTGCAAGTTACTGGTATATTAAACGTATTATGCTAATGTTTTACTAGTGACTACTTTAAGCTTGATTAATTATATATTACGTTTATATAACTTGCAAGTTTTATATCAAGTAATTGAATAGGCAAATAATTTTTTTAATAAAACAATCGATCAACAACAAATAATCTATAAAACTATAGAAAAAAAGAAGAATCCGTGGCATGAACCACATACTTAATAAGATAGCTGCGCAACGCAGTTGCGCAACACCAACGGGAAGATATATTGTAAGATTTTAAAAAGAAAGCTTTGAAATTGTGTTAAGCATAGATAATGCCACAAGCTTTCTGCAATTATAATGGGTTATGGTATTTTGTACCATAACTTATAATAATTTATGGCGTTATGATCAGGTACAATTTTTAGATTGTAATAAGTAAAAGTTTAATCTGCTGAAGAAATAATTTTCTATTATAAAATTCTAAAAATAGAATTCTTTGCATAACGAAATACGGGCTTTAACCGATCTAATTAAAGAAGTATTTTATGCTATTTTTTGATCATGTATAGTATCATTCAAAGTCCGTATTCCGTTGTTTAAAGAATTTTATTAAGTATTTATGTATTTCATAGTTTTTCAAATGCTTAAATTATAAATTTTATATTAAATTGACACGAATAAAATGAAGTTAAATAATAAATATTTGTGAAATTTGATAGCTTGCTTAGATTAACCAAAGTTCATGAATAAAATATAGTATAGATATAGTTAGGTGACACCTTAGTAAATAATCAATTGGTTTAAAATAGATATTGCTTATATATAATACATTAAATGGGGAATTTACACATAAAGGCCCAAAAATGAAAATAATTACGGATGAGGGTCTAAAATAAAAATTTTTACATATAGCGGCCCAAAATTAAAAATTATTACAAATAAGGGCCTATCCGACCTCCGAGCTATACTAGACGAGACTTACATAGCGTCGCCCAGAAAAATAGCTTTAAGATGCAATTAATTTTTTGCACTAAAAAGCTAAGGGCACTATTCACGAATCTCGTCAACAAACTTATGACTTTACGAATTTTAGCGCATTGATAAAAAGATCTTTATATGTAACTAAATAACACGAATAAAAAGATGTAATATGCTTTTGAACATTAAGATCCTTTGTATTTACATTAATAAACAAGAAGTAAAGCAAAGTATAAAATATTTACGAACTTAAAATAGCTTATTTAAACGATTGAACAAAATTATATTTTTGTAAATTCAGAATGCAAAAATTCTCAAAAAAGTGAAAGTCAAAACGAAAGTCAAAGAGAAGTCAAAGCCAAAACAAAAGTCAAAGCGAAAGCCAAATGAAAGTCAAAGCAAAGGAGAATCAAAGCGAAAGTCAAAGTCAAAATGAAAATTAAAGCAAAATCTTAGCAAGAGTCAAAGTGAGAGTCAAAGCGAAAGTCAAGTCAAAGCAAAGATCAAAATAAAAATCAAAGTTCTAATGTTTATTATTATTAAGCATGATAAACATAGCTTTACAGGCAATCAGTTTTCGATGTCATATGTAAGCCAGCAAAAAATCTGGCTATTATTTTTTTTTGGGCGACGCTATGTAAGTCTTGTGGCTTAGTCGTCTAATATATCTCGGAGATCGGACAGGCCCTTATTTGTAATAAATTTTGGTTTTGGGCCGCTATATGTAAGAATTTTTATTTTGGGCCCTCATCCGCAATTATTTGCATTTTTGGGTCTTTATGTGTAAATTCTCCTTAAATTAACATAAATAAAATAAAATTAATAAATATTAGTTTAATAGTTTATTTTAAATGCTTGAATTAATAAATATTTTTTATATTATATACTAAAATTAATGTAAACCAAATAACATCAAATAGTAAATACTTATAAAAGCTAATAGTTTGTTTAAATGCTTCTTTGACTAATAAAAGTTTTTAATACTTACCACTAAATTAACATAAATAAATGAATTAAATAATAAATATTTACATTAATATTCACTAAGTTTAATAGATTATTTAAATATTTGGATTAATAAACATTCTTTTTGTTATAAATAAAATGAAATAAAGTAATAAAATTTCATAAAATTTTTTTTTTCAGCAATCCTGCTTTTATTATTTAAATTGGAAGTACTAGAACTTTATATTTAGATTTTTTTTTTTTTTTTTTTTTTTTTTTTGTTTTTAAGGCTGATGTTTCGGAGCTTACTGCTTTTTTTTTTATTTTTTTTTTAATGT